AAAAAGAAAAAAAGATAACAAAAATAAAAAACTAACCTTGCTGTGTAAATCAAGAAAAACTTCTGCCGCTTTATCATAGTTCCAATTATTTTGTTGTAAACATCTGAAATAATAGTATATACATTTCACTTATATATTTCAAGTTAAAATAATAAACTTACAATATTGAATATTCAATATTCATGCCTGATTGTCGAGAAAATTTCTGAACCATTTCTTGATTTTGTATATCAATATTTGTATTTAGATTATTTTGATTATTCGAATCTTGTGATGATGATGTTGTTGAAGAATGAGTCATTTTCTATACAAAAAAAAAAAAAATAATTATTATTTTTCTTCATAATCAAAATTCAATATTATACATACTTCAATTTGTGCATCAGCCGCATTACTTAACATAATATGATCAGCTATGATAAGTATACTAAATAATGATAATAATAATAATTATATTAAATCTGAGAGAAAAAAATTCATATTTACCCAGCCGTAGTTGGAGCACAAGTAAATGTACGTTGGAAACAACGAATAGGATTATTTGTATTTTGATCCACTGAAACAATAAATTTCATAATAAAAAAAAAAATCAAAAATTTTTCTAATTCAATTTACCTTCTTTATAAAGACCATTGATTGTAAAAACAGCTCGATTATTCTATAAAAACATAATAAATAAAATATATATAATAAAAAAAAAAATCAATCAATAACTTACAGTTGTTGAAATAACATCAACATGAAATGAATTTCCATCATGTTTAGTTAATGGATATTTAAATCTTAAGAAATCTAATACAGCCGTTTTACCATGTCGTAATAAACTAATACGTTTATTATTATCAGTACCAAATTGTAAATTTCTTGATTCTAATATTAATGTACCATATTTATATTGTCGTATAGGAACATGTGAATCTTCTAATTTTGTAATACATAATGAAAACATACATAAATCATGATAACATGCATGTAATTCACTACGATCATGTGTATCAAATAATCGATAAAATTTTTCAATAAAATTTTGTAAAAATGTTTGCATATCATTTGGTACATAATGTGGTAATGATTTTGGTAATTTTATTGTTTCAATATCAGTTGCAAAACGAATAGCTGGTGTAAGATCAATATCATCCTTTGTAAAAAAAAAAAAAAAGAATATATTTATTAAAAAAATTTTATTGAAAAAATTAACATACGATTCGTTTGAGTTGTGGTAATTTTTGCTGTATAATACTAGAATGGTATTAGATGGACCAAATTGATGGATGCTTGTTGCAGAATGCAACTGAAAAAATAGACACCCAAGCAACAGCAAACAAACTCGTCTTTTACCCTGTCGTTTTTAAATCGAATGTTTTATATTGATTTGTTTTTCTTTTTCATTTTTCAATTAATCATTCTTATTCACATTTGTAATTCATCGATTTAGAATGTTTATACAATTGTAAACTTAATCGAAATCGTTTATTACATTTTACAATAATCATTTCTCTCATCACATATACAAAAAAAAAAGCTTTGATTATATCCATTTGTACGCTGTTGTTAAGGTATTCAATTATTCTATGTTTATAGAAATTAATACATAAGAATTTTGTTTGATATTCTATTCCGATATTCAAAATTGATAATATAATCAGTAAGAATAAAATTCTATCAAAGATAGAAGTTTAATTGATTTTTATAATAAATTCCAAAGAATTAATTATTAATCAATTATGATTAATTTTCTAATTTGTTTTTGTTTTATTTTTAAAATATTTGAACATCGAATATCATATAAATTTGATTGAAGTATAGAATTATTACTTGATTATTTATTGTTGTTTGATTGATTGGAAAAGAGTTCGTTCGTTGTTTTTTTTTCGACGTACAAAAAAACAATTTCAATATTATTTACAATTAAATATGAGAAATTTTACAAGATTATTTTCGATATACTCTCATACTTGAATAAATTTTCGACGTACAAAATCACTCACACATTCTCTCGTTTAATGTAATAGATCGAATTCGATTGTGTAAACATATTTCTTTTAATTTTCAATTCGATGAATTTAATATTTTTAACTCAAGTGAAATCAAATGATCTGTTGAGAATAAAAATAAGATAATAAAAATAAATCATAGAAAATAAAACATTCGATTTAAATAGATATTTTCTTTTTGTCTCTGTCTGTTGTGAATGTCCATGAAAAAAAAAAGTTTTCCGATCTGACCTGATTATATCATCGATGGAATTATTGCATTTGTTATTTGGTAATGTTAATGGATTATTTTTGATAAATATATGAACTAATTGAGATAAATGTTTAAGATTATCAAAATTGTCAACATGTTTTAACTAAAAATAAATAATTTCAATTTTAAAAAATAAAAATACTTTTTTTTGTTTTTAAATAACAAACTTGATTTGAAGCAAAACTTAATTGTACAAGATTATTTAAATGAAGATTACGAAATTCATATAAATTCATAATATTATTTGAACCCAAATCTAATTGTCGTGTCTACAAAGAAATTAAAAAAAAATTCTAGAAATATAAACAAATATTAATACTAACCATAGGAAGATCTTTATTAATGATATCAACAACATCACGTATAAATCCATGTTTATTAAATTGTGGAAAAATACCCAATGAACTTAAATCTAAATATTTAACATTATAATTTCATATTAAAATAAAACTTTCTTATTACCTTCATCATCAGCTAAATTTGATAAATCTAATTGAAATGTTTGTTTATTAAATCGACGACTGAGTAAATAATCCTAAAGATTGTAATTAGTGAAATAAACATGTTTCTTTTTTTATGTATTATTTACTTTAAAATGTGGTCGTAAGTCTTCATCCATTGATGGTATCGGAGCTGAAACTCGACCAACCATAATACGAAGCTTAAAAAAATTAAAAAAAAAAGAATATAAAATAGTTTCTTCGTTTCAGAGGTGTCCCGAGAACGCCACGGTTCGGGAGGGATCAAACATTTTTTTGTCAGAATTCATGAGCAAAAAAAGACGAATAAAACCCTGCAGCTTCGCTGGAGAAAAAACGAAAATTTCTTAGATAGTGTGTATTTTTCGCATGGTAGGCAGACATGTGACTTTCTTTGCTCAGAAATAATTGAATACGATGTAGAAAAGCGTGTTTTAGAAAAAGAAAAAAAGTTTTTCAACGAAAAATGCCTGACGGAGGTCCTAACCTTCATTTTCTTCGAGAAAACGTTTTTCTTTAAAATTGTTTTGTATTATATATCATTCGACGTGGTTTAAGGCACTGATTCTGAATATACTATTTTTGTTGATTAAATATTTGTCCAAAATCAGAAAAATCTAGGACTTTTGAAAACCTATTGTGCAGTCCAGAAATGATTGTGCCAACAAATATTAGAGACAGTAGATAGAAAAACATTCTGGCAAAATTTGAGGGTTGGATTGTTCATTTTATGGAACTAGCCATTCGGACGATACTATAGAAAACAAGATTTTTTACCATTGTATATAACTCGACTTGGAGATTCAGTAAGCGTATTTGATTTGTCTATCGAATAGTTTAATTTTATCAGATATCAATTTTCCTAGTGACATCACGCTTTTCAGACTAATTTTTTGACAATTGGTTTTTCAGTTGCTTTAAGGGTTATAACAAAGTTATTTATACCATTAGATATAGACTATATTGCGAAGTATATTTCCCTGTATTTAAATCTTCAAAAGCAGCGACTATCATTTTTAGTCAAATGCCCGCCTAAAAGTACACTGTGGACGAATATCCTTCAACTCGGGACACTCCTACTTCATTTTTCTTGTTTCTTTTTTATCACTTACAATATCTAAGTTTTGAACTTCAATTTTTCCATTAGCTCGTTTCATCATATCGGCATCTTGTTGATTATTGACAAAGAAAACACCTGCTTTTGTATGAGGATCAATGAAATACTAAAATAATTAATAATTAATAATTAATAAAATAAATGATTGAATTTTTATTATAAAATAAATATTTACATGATAAGGCTGAAATTGACGAGGACAATGAGCTTTAAGTGTTGACATAACACGTTCTTTGCCAATCGTACCAGCTTGTTGAATTGTTACACGCCACCAACCTGTTTGATTTATTTGAGCCTTTTTTAATTGATAAGTTGGACGAGTTGGTCGACGATCTTGAGTATGTTTAGTTACATATCTTCTTGATGATAAATTTTGAGATGGATTTCCATCAGTTGTTAAATTACGATTAATTGATACCATAAGTGTATCAACATCATCTCCATTACGATTAGATTCTGGACGATAATTTTTTCGACCACCACGCTGATTATATTTCGAATTATATCGATATGATATTGGATCTGTATAATGTTTACCACCATTATGAGAAAAATCGTTTCGATTAAACATTTTGTAATAATAATCTATAATAACATAAGTCTATTTATTTTTATTAAAGACAAACAATAGAATATTCTAATATGTATGTTACTCAACGGGAAATACGATAAAAAGTCATCTGATACATGTGTCATGTTTTATTTTGAGTAATTTTTTTTTAGATGAAATTACATGAAATAAAGGAAAAATCTTTCTCAATGACTCATATCCAATTATATGTAATATTCAGTTGGTTTTTTTTTTTGAAATAATCTCAAATATGAAATTAAAAGCATAATTTAATTTTTTTGTAGATATCATTTTATTTGAAACTATTTCCTTTTTAAAGAATAATCATTTTCTAAAGTAACTCTTGTTTTTTTTTTAGTGACATCTATTTATTTTTTTTCTAATTGTTATATATATTCTAACCATACAGAAAAAGAAATAAAAAAAAGCTGAATGATGATGAATCGAATGTCGCTATCCTTTTCTTTGTGTACTTACAATGAGATAATTTCTTTCATTTTCTATAAATATAATCAATATATATATATGTATACTTTTTTTATTCTTACTTGATTTATTTTAGATTTCAATGATCTAATGAAAAGCAATGAAACGGCAACATCATTCTTCGTCACCTCCATCATCACCTTTATCAAATTCACAAGTCTCAGATGAATTTGAACCAGTATCAAAACGTTCTCGTATTTCAATTTCTTCACCAACACCACCACCAGATAATGACAATCAAATAGTAATAGAAGAAGATGAAGATGAAGAAATAATTGTTGATGAACCTATTGTTTCAGCAGTGATTCTTGATGAAGACAGGTTAGAGATTATTCTCTTAACTTACGTCAATTCATTCGTCGTTTTACTCGAATATTTTTAGCCAAAATGTACATGATAGTGATGTCAATGATGATGATATTGTTGAAATTGAACAACAAAATTTGAATTATTTTGTTTCACAAACTAATAATCCAATAATTGTTGTTTCGGATTCAGATTCAGATGATGATCAAGGAATTGATGTAACTAATGATATACCTCCATCAGTATCCTCTATAATTAATACATCCATATCTTCATCTGATATTGAAGATGTGGAAATCGTTCAAGAAGATATTGAAGAAGAACCTGCAATAATAGATGAAGAAAATGAACAACAACAACAACAACAACAACAACAAGTAACTAATAATGATGATGATGATCATGAATCTCTTGAAATTCTTGCTAATGATGGTAATAATGGTAATGATAATGAATTAATTGATTTAACAGAGGATGAATTAATTTCAATATCTTGTTCATCTAATCCATTTGAACGTAAATTATCTATTGATGTACAACAATGTCCAATTTGTCTTGAAACACTTACTCATTTACAACGTACAGGTGTTTATTTAATAATAACACAATGTCGTCATGTTATGTGTACATCATGTACTCGTCAATTATTAGCTACATCATCTCGATGTCCTCTATGTCGAGAGAATGTAAGCTCAACAACACTTATGCCATATTGTATTCTTACTTGAACATAAATCAACATCTATTCTATACAAAAAAAAAATTTATCTCTGTTTATTTGTATTATTGTATATATATATATATATATTAAATGTTTCTTTTCTCTTTTTTTTTCTTTTCATATATGAATTATGTCATTTCTTTCTCTAGAATAGCAAAAATGCGAAGAATGAAGTTTTTTTGTTTTTTTTTCATCATCATATTTCATTTTGTTTTTAAACATAGAGATCAGTCAGTTGAACCTGTATTTATTTGGTTAATTTTTTTTTTTTGGCTTTTCTAGATGGCTCTTGCAGCAATTCAAGCATTATATGATGATGATGATGATAATGACAATGAGAAAACTGATGAAGAAGAAATAAACGATCGAATGGCTGTAATTAATGATCCAACATTTTCTGTTATGTCTAAAATTAAACTTAATTTAACACCAGCTATTGCTATTCAAGTAAGAAAAAAACTGACAAAGAAAGAAACACTAAAATATCAGTTATAAAGAAATGTGACCTGCCGATTGAGCTGAACTTTTGCTCATACGTAGGTTTTCGTGAATCTTAGCATGCTATGAAGAAGGTTTCAGCCTAAACTAATATGTTCTTTTCGAAATATTGAACATTTAAAAACAATCATATGTTTCAAGGAAAGGTAAGAAAGTTTATGGTTTTCAATATTCGATATGTCAAGAACAACACGTCCTTTTGGCCTAAAATATTCAGGACATTTTAAGGTCAACAAGATCTGCCTAAGGGCAAAACTTCCGATTGAAATTTTGTACTTCGATTTTTTTAACTACACGTTGTCAAATATAAAAAAATTCAGTAAAATAATATTAACTTGAGAAGGACAGCGCATAGGGACGAATTCTTATAGGCTTCTACTAGTCTTGTCGGGGTCTTTTCGTGGGTCAAATATCAGTTCAATTGACAAGTCACAGTTGCCGACTTTTCCTTGTTAGTAGGATCAACTTGTGGAATCAAAAAAAAACATTGATATAAGCTACTTCTAATGTTAATAATAATACAATCTATAATTCTCTTTTTTGTTTTCATTTCTAGCCAATAGATACAAGTAGTTTTTTGGATATTAAAACAAGAGAAGTTCAATACAATCCTAAATATGAAGATATGTATGCACCAGTGGTAAGTCGAATGATTTTTTTTTTTTTACAATGATATTGAAAGAATAAATAAATAAATAAATAAATAACTATTCATTGTAGTTTGGTCCAACAAATCCTAATTTAACACAACAACAACGTAGTTATAAAAATCTAATTAATGGTCATGCTGAATCAACAAATTTAAGTGATTTTCTATTTGAAAATCAACGTCGAACATTTGATAGTTTTGGTTATGCAGCTGATCCAAGTGTTGGAGAACATGCTATTCCACAAATAATTGGTGATCAAATTAGTGCCGAACAAAATGAAGGCAAAACTATTTTTGAAACAAATAAAAAACGTTCATATGAAAAACGAAAAAAAGAAAAGAATGATGATTCAAGTGATGTTGAACATTTTCAAGGCCCATGGGCTCCATTTGTTGATGAAGTTACTATATCTCGTCCAAATGAAGTATTATTTCTTTAATTCATTTTCTTTTTAAATCTCTATTTTTGTTTTCTCTTAATTTAAAAGGAAGAACAAAAGGAAATTGATGAATATTTATCTAAAAGGAAGAAAGTGAAACGACGCAATTTAGAAGATCAACATGCTCCAATATCTGCTCGTGATCCTGAATCGACAACATTGAATAAAGAACCTGAAGATTCATCATCAACAACATTACATATTAAAGATCCATATGATTATCAAGGTCGATCATTTCTTCATATACCACAAGATGTTGGTGTTAATCTACGTTCGGAACATGGACCACAACGATGTTTTATTCCAAAACAATGTATACATACATACAAAGGACATACAAAAGCTGTACAAAAAATTCATTATTTTCCTGTTTCTGCTCATCTTTTTCTTACTTGTTCAATGGATTGCAAAGTCAAGGTAAATCTTACATAGAAGAAAGACAAAGAAATGATTTAATAAATATATATTTTTCTTTTTTTCTTAGTTATGGGAATTTTATAATGAACGTCGTTGTATTCGAACTTATTCTGGACATAGTCAAGCTGTACGAGATGTTAATTTTAATAATGCAGGCACGGAATTTTTGTCAGCATCATATGATAAAAGTGTTAAATTATGGGACACAGAAACTGGTATGAATTTAAATTTTTTTTTTTTTGTAATAAAAATTTTTTATTAATATTCTTTTGATATATTAGGTCAAGTAAAAAGCAAATTTCCAATGCGTAAAATTCCGTATTGTATATCATTTAATCCGAGTGAACATAAACAACATTTATTTATATGTGGAATGTCGGATAAGAAAATTCTTTGTGTAAGTTTTTTTTCTATAAATGATTAAATTTTTACATCTTTTTTTTTTTTTAATATATCAATATTCTATTTAGTTTGACATTCGAAGTGGTCATGTTGTACAAGAATATGATCGACATTTGGGTGCTATTAATACAGTTACATTTGTTGATCGAAATCGTCGAATTGTTTCAACATCAGATGATAAGAGTATTCGTGTATGGGAATGGTAAATATAATATATTAAACATATTCGATTGTTATTGTTTTCGTATTTAGGAATATACCTGTTGACTTTAAATATATTGCTGATCCAACAATGCATTCAATGCCAGCTGTTGGCCAGTCACGCAATGGTTTGTTTATTTTGCTTTACTTTATTATTATCAGGTTTATATTTAATTGCTCAGTATGTTTTCTATTGCATGCTCAGTAGTTCTTGCTCTGTAATTAATTTAAAAACACTCAGTATTTAAGAGTGTGCATGTCGGTGTTCGTCTTTCTCATAGTAACATCCACACTCACGGGTTATCAATTTACTGAGCAAGCATAATAGTTATCAAACACTAAATTTTATACTAATAGTTGGACTTATTTACTGATTATATCTATATAATACTGAAAATTTAATTTGTTCTCTTATTATTATTTTTGTTTTTGTTTTAGGTAAATATTTAGCATTTCAATCGATGGATAATCAAATTCGAATTATGGAACCATTGGCTAATTTTCGATGGAAGAGCAAAAAACTATTCAAAGGTCATATGGTAAGTAGTCATTTTTTCTTATTTATGGAATCGATTGATATTTCTCTTTATATGTAGGTATCTGGTTATGCATGTGGTTTGGATTTTTCACCGGACATGTCTTATTTGATAAGTGGTGATGCTGATGGACGTTTAATTATTTGGGATTGGAAAACAACACGTATTTTTGAACGAATTAAAGCTCATGATGATGTATGTATTGATGCTAAATGGCATTGGCATGAAAAATCAAGAGTTCTTACAGCTGGATGGGATAATGTCGTCAAATTATGGGATTAAAATATATTATTATTTTCCAGTGTTTATTTATTGTTCTTCTTGAGATCTATTAACATATTTGTGTGACGATTCTTTTTGTACATTGTTTTTGTCTATGTACCAGTGTATTTACTAACAACAAACAAAACTAAAAATATAGATCGGAAAACACTAAAGTGAAACATACACATGTGGATAATTTTAAAAATAAGATATAAATCTCGACATTAGGCTTTTTTTCTCTGCGTTTATCATTGACATATTTCTCAATTAAGTATACTGTTTTGTAGTATCTCCTGAAGTATTTTATCACGAATACATTTTACTTTTTGATCTAAAATATGACTGTCATGAATGATGCTTCATAATGTTCTTTTTTCTTAAACAATATGCATAAAAAAATATTTGTTGTTGTTCTCTGTTTTTTAACAATAACATTAATTTCATTTTGCTATCCTGAAAAGCCACTGAATCTGCCAAACGAGCCTATGAGTTGCAATGCTGAAAAATAAAATCAACAAAAAAAGATTATCTTAGCAATATCGAGACATACCTCAGAGAGATTCAGAAAATAACTAACAATCTATTCAAGCACCAGAAATATTAGATATGAGTATAAATACGAATGTTCAATTAAATCTTCTACACGAGAATAATCAGTGGTTTCTTTGAAAGTTTCCATAATCTTAAATAATTTTTCCTTATCTTGAAGCATCCGTTGGCTGCGATTTTCTTTATTCGACAATGAATATAATTTTCGTCTTTTCGTAATATTTCGATAAATTCAAAATGTGAATGTCAACATTCAATTACCATTTACCGACGAGATCATCTGCGACTTAATTTCATGGGTTACATCTTCATTTTTCACATACCACTCTCATCCTCGCGCTGTGCAGTATGTGATTGAACCACATGTCTGCAAAGTGAGAGTTATGGAAAGTGAAATAGAATCTACGTTTCTGTTGAACATGTGACCAATTCACGATTGCAACTAATAGTCGTTCGATTGATTGTTGCTTTCTGGATCATTGATATCTTAGATGCTATATATATAAAATTCAAATTCTTGTCTCAGATAACTTAAGTTCATTCATAAGGGTGTCTTCAACACTCAGAAAAATCTTTATACTCCTTGTATTGATTAAATGACATCATCATTATCTCTGTGTCTTCAGCTGAAACAAAATAGATGTGTACCATAACGAATTCATTATCATATCTTCTGCGTAAGTTGAGAATTAACTATGTTGATGGTGCGTATTATCATATAAAAGCTTTCAGAAGCTTGTACAACCACCTATCTGATCTATTCAAGTTAGTTTCTGATTATCTCTTCGTTAAAACATTATGAATCTAGTGATAATGGCAATAGTATTTGTGGTAGATCGTTTTATTTTGTCATCTGAAATTAAATTAATTAAGAATTTGTTGAGATGTATGTATATGTGTCACATCATAAAAGGATATTATTGTTTATCGCTGATAATGGCTGTTCTAGCTTTAATTTATGTCGTTTTGTTTTCAATTATAATTCAATGTTTTCGAAAATGATCAACTGATGGAATATTGATTCAATAGTTTGTGACAAAATCCAAACACA